TGCCCTAAACACCGGGCCATGCTGGGCCTTTCAAAGAGGAAGTGTAAGTTCTTATAAAAAATATTTACAATATTAAGTTTATGTTTTGGTATTTTTATACTGTAAATACAGCTGATGATTTAACCTTATATTACCAGATGGATTGGACAACTCAACTACACAAGAGGGGGATGTTAAGCCTGTCACTTTGGCCTCATTTTACAAATAGGGAATAATTTTACTATATTTTCTATTGAAATTCACAATCATAAGAGCTTGCTTACTAAAATCACTTGGTTTAGCTTGGGATAAATCCCTGTAGAATTCAGTCCTGTGCGACTTCTTTAGTCCTGTGCACAGTCCAAAGTCAGATAGCTTTATATGACCCTAAAACAAAAAGTTTGAAACATTTATTAAAATCACCAATACTTTAATTTCATATATGCTACAAAGAAACGTTAAAAAAATTAAAATTTTGTATCTAATTATTAATAGTCAGATTTACTGCTAATTACAAAGTCTTATTAGTCCTAATAAGAGGACAGATCAGGTGAAAAGCAAGATGTCAAATCTCATGTTCTGTAAAACAAAGAATGCATAAATATTATAAAGATCACGGTTACATAGGATATACAACACACCATTTTGAAAATTAAAAACAGATCCAATCAGCACAGCATTAGCTACTTAAAAACCACTTCGTTAATTTAGCCATCTTACTCTAGCATCAAGTAGCAAGTTGTCAGGCTTAATGTCCTTATGAATAAAGCCCAATTAGCACAGCATTAGCTACTTAAAAACCACTTCGTTAATGTAGCCATCTTACTCTAGCATCAAGTAGCAAGTTGTCAGGCTTAATGTCCCTATGAATAAAGCCCAATTAGCACAGCATTAGCTACTTAAAAACCACTTCGTTAATGTAGCCATCTTACTCTAGCACCAAGTAGCAAGTTGTCAGGCTTAATGTCCCTATGAATAAAGCTCAATTAGCACAGTATTAGCAATTTAAAAACAATTTCGTTAATGTAGCCATCTTACTCTAGCATCAAGTAGCAAGTTGTCAGGCTTAATGTCCCTATGAATAAAGCCCAGCTTGTGGATGGAGTTAATGGCTAAAGCTGTCTCTGCTACGTAGAACTGGGTTACTTCTTCTGACAGGGTATCCTTTTTCATTAGAAGAGTCATCATGTCTCCTAATGAGAAAAACAACACACACATTTATTAGTTACTTTCACCTTTGTACCGGGTAAAAGTTTGTAGAATAATTGTAAGCCAATTAAGAGATAAACCATAATAAACTTTACAAACTTCTTCATCAATTTATTCACACCCAACTCTAAAGTTCTTTAAAAAACAAAAATGTGAAGTAAATTTAAAACAAATGAAACCATGGTATAAAACAACCAGAAATTGCATGGTTTATAAGTCATTACATAATGTTTTCAAAAAAATTTCAACAAATGACCATATACATTAAATGCTGTCTAAAATAAACATTTACAAGGTTTATACAACATTCACAAAAATCCTGAAATTTTTACAGGATCCATATTCAGGAATCCTGTCATACAGGAGTAAGCTTGAATTTTATATCACCAAACATGTCCAATGCAATAGCAAGGTCTCATGAGGCACAAGATGCACAACAGCTACCATAAAATAAAAAACAAACCCATTTTAATATTCACACTTTTTTAAATTTGTTAAATTACTTTTTAGGTTAAGCCAACTATTTCCAGGAAGAATTTTTTTTAATGAAACTGAAATTTCAGAGCTCTGAATATTTTTTTTAATGTAATATATTTGCGTTTTTAAATTAAAATCTTACTTTAATTATATGTTCTTTTACTAGTATAGAAATGTAATTTATTTATTCTATAATTTCGTACCTCTTTCTTACCTTGTCTTTTCTGTAAGTCTTCACTTACAAAAAAAAAACGAAAAAGAATTTAAATAATTCAGACCTTGGGTCCCAAGATCCATAAATCAAAAGAAGTTAAAAAATTATTGCTGAAACAATAAGTGAATATATTCATATTGGAAAAGACCTATTAGAAGAGAGAATAACAAAATTACTGAATGTTTAAGTGCCCTTTTGGACATATTGTTAAAACCTTTTTTTTTATAAATCTCATGTTTCGAGTAGTCTCATTAGGGTTGATTTTGAATTTGTTAAAAAATTCCCACAGAATTGAGAAAAAAAAAATCAGAGTTTTGGTTCATTAGACATGGTAGCTCTGTATACAAGTGTTGAACACGACTATAGACTTACAGCTGTGGAAAGGTTTCAAGATAAATACAAAGAATTAATTCATTTCAGGTTTAATAAAGGTTTAGATAGTCTGAAAAAATTGTTTTCTTACTTATGAGGAACAAATCTTTCTGGAACAGCAATGGGCACAAAAGTTGCTCCAATTTATGCTGATATCACTATGGAATTTTTAGAGTTACAATTATTTAATTATTTAGCTGTGACCCGCAAAATATTTGCAGCCATTTTTATGCCCTTCACTTGAAGTTTCCTTATTCTATCATTTTCACACACATTATTTAAACTATGCTTTTTTTCAGGCATTATATGTTAGATTGTTATATTAATGTGGTCTATTTGAAAACATTTTTATGCAATCAGATGAACAAACTCATGTAGACATAACATGTAAATTGTGGTGAATTATATATTGTGAAACAGATAATTTAAAAATAAAGATAAATTTACATAAATTCTATGTTAGATGTCCCAAAAAATGTCTGCTGTATGCAAGCAAAGCTTTTAATGAATGTATTTTGAAAACATTTTAAATTCTAAAAGAATCATATTTTCACATTTTCCCTTTTAGGGCATGTAATGTAAAACATAGAAGATTATTTTTTTTAAATTATCTTATAACTTTTTGGCACCACTTTAAATAGATAGAAGTAAGATTGCAGAAGTTACTGGTTGTGTAAAGTCAACCGGAATTGTGAAACCATGAAAAACTATAACAATAAGAGAAAGTATAATTAGAGTAAGATTTTAATATCAAAAGCAAAGTATATTAGATAAACTTTAATTAATTTTATTTACCATTTCTTAATGTACTTAATTTATATATGGAGTGTATTATAAGTTTGTACATCTGGAAAATATATGTATTTAATTTAGATTATTTTATGTTTACTTGTAAACAGTATTCAAATGTTTTTATTATAGATTCTTAGTAAAATTATATCCTGAAGAAATTAATAGAGAGAGAGAAGAAAAAACAGAAAAGTTTGATACTCGAGTGTTTTGTTACACATAAGTAAATATCATTAATATCATAAATTACATCAAAAGTATATAGGCGATTAAATCAGCACTATACGATAAGGATTAAAATCAAAACTGAGATGTGTATTATGAGACTCTAACAAAAACGAAAATGAAGCTATCCTTTTACTCGTATTTGTACATAAAGAGTGCCAAGTTCTTTCTTACTTCCAACAGATACAAGTTTTAAGTAGATTTTTATAGAAACAAATTATCTTTTCAAAAATTAACCGAACCAGATATTTTCCCCGCATGAAGTAAATAATAAACATGTATTTTACGTGAAATTATGACAGACAGAAAAGTCTGTGATGTTGGGAACAGTACCAAGACATCAGGAGTCAACCCAGTTTTAAAAATAGTTTTCCAATCCAGTAACATAATTTCATATGTATATTGTTCTATTTGTAGGGATGCTAACCCAAATTTTGCACATCAACCACTAAACTTTGAAACAGATGTACTAGTTTTGTTTCTGAAAATAGGAAAACACTTTCAACCTCTCTATTACATATAAAACCACTGTAACTCTTCTCAATAACATGAATCTACCGATTAGGTGTGTATCACACACCAATCACTAACCAGTATTTCCCTAAATTTATCATTCCCATTCATTTACATGAAACTCCGAGAGAAGTGAACCATTGATATCAACATTATTACAACTTCAAATGTTGGAAATAACAACAGGATGTCATCAGCCAACATTTACCATTGATATCAACATCATTACAACTTCAGATGTTGGAAATAACAACAGGATGTCATCAGCCAACATTTACCATTGATATCAACATTATTACAACTTCAAATGTTGGAAATAACAACAGGATGTCATCAGCCTACATTTACTAACACTAAATACACAGAATACAGAGATAAAGCAATGTCTATTTACAAAAAATTATTTGTAAGGTATCAATTATTATTGATGCACAAGACACACACATACATACATGTATGGTACAGTGCATGTACAGTTATGGTAATTGTCTTTTCCTATTTATAATTCATATTATTTTTCTAATTTCAATACGAAAGTAAACCTTTACTACTACTTTCTTATTTCTTAGTCTATTGTGACGTTGACCAAAATGTTTAATATTAGATCAATAACATAAAGGTAAGACAGAATCTGTTGGTCTAAGGACACCCTTAGACCAACACAGCTCTATTCGCTACAGTAGTCATACAACTGAAATTGCTAAATTACACTGTTGTATCCACCACTAGGTGGCTACCCATGAAAGAATGTACATCAAGATTGAGAAATACATCTAGTGTGGAGTTTTTTTAGATTTGCTAGAAAAGTCTGGGTTAATGAACTTTATCACAGAAATGTTTGCTTTGCAAATATTTACTTCTGCTAATGTAAAGTCTGCATGAAAATGTTAATTAGTAAGCCTGTAAGATAAGCCAAAATTTAGAAATCCTAACCTGCAAGCAACAATAGTTTAATTACAAAACCAATGGAAGATTTACAACGTATTTTGTGTGTCCACTGAATGCATGATAAACTGTTTATACAGATTTACATTTATCATATGTAGAAGTTATAAGTATAAATTAAGAAAACAATCAGCTATGTATAAAGCAGAAAATTTTCTTTTGATACAAGAAATAGTATTTTTTTGTGGCTGTTCATTAAAAATTTCCATCAATGAAATATTTTTTTAATTTGAACAAACTTACTTCAATTGGACAAAATAATCGCTTGCATGAATCGCAAAATACTTTATTAGAACTTTAATTACTACTGATCTTATGATTTCAAAATCTTTGTGATTTGTGTTAACATTACATTTTCTTTTTTTACATAAGTGTTATATTTTCTTTATGCAAATAACATCAATTACAGTAGTGTTAACTGCTTATGATAGTAAAGCAATAAGGAGTTTTATATATAAAAAAAAGAGATTATCTCATAACTGCCAATACTTTTGTACCTCACAATCTTAATTAGTCCGTGATTAATTTTGAGATCAATAACGGATTAACAGAGGATTGTGATAAGAAACTGAACACTGTTAATAGTGATTTAATCATTTTGTTTACATCAAAATAACACTGATAATTATAACACGTTATATCACACACTGTGACAAGAATCTTTACTAGTTTTATGACGTGAAATATAAGGGTAATTATTTCCAAAAAGAAAAAATTGGTTTATTTAGTTTCAGTCAGGTAGACTTGTGAAAATTTGGAGGGTGAAACCTGTGGAACAGTATTACTCATATTTTCGGTTTGTTACAGGTTTTTGTACTATGTTGTGTGTATATTACATATCGTGTACAACAGTTTAGGACTAAAAAAAAGTAACCCAATACTAAACTATTATACCTTAAGTGGTCTATCATATTAAACAAAGGGTAGCTTGAAAAAATTCTTTAAAAACTCAAAACAAGCTGAAAATAGAAATAATAGTTTCAAATCGATTAGTTGAATAAAATCAAAATATGAGCCTGACAACTACTAAATTCAACTAATTTTCCAGCTCTAACTAACACTACACAAAAGATACTTAAACTAACAATACTGTATATTACTTGTACAGCACTGAAAATTACATTTGTAAGGTAAAATGACAAATATTGCAGTAAATTACGATTACTTCAAAAAAGTTTGTTTGACAGGAAAATACGACTCAACTGTACAAGACAGATAATAACACATACCTCCAGGAAGAAACTCCATGGAAAATACAACTCAACTGTACAAGACAGATAATAATACATTTCCTTTGGAAACAAGCTCCATGGAAAATATGACTCAACTGTACAAGACAGATAATAACACATACCTCCAGGAAGAAACTCCAAGGAAAATACAACTCAACTGTACAAGACAGCTAATAATACACACCTCCAGGAAGAAACTCCACAGAAAATATGACTCAACTGTACAAGACAGATAATAATACATTTCCTTTGGATACAAGCTCCATGGAAAATACAACTCAACTGTGCAAGACAGCTAATAATACACACCTCCAGGAAGAAACTCCACAGAAAATATGACTCAACTGTACAAGACAGATAATAATACACACCTCCAGAAACAAACTCCACAGAAAATATGGCTCAATTGTGTAAAACAGATAATAATACATACCTCCAGAAACAAACTCCACAGAAAATATGGCTCAACTGTGTAAAACAGATAATAATACATACCTTTGGAAACAAGCTCCATGGAAAATATGACTCAACTGTGCAAGACAGCTAATAATACACACCTCCAGGAAGAAACTCCACAGAAAATATGACTCAACTGTACAAGACAGATAATAATACACACCTCCAGAAAGAAACTCCACAGAAAATATGGCTCAATTGTGTAAAACAGATAATAATACATACCTCCAGAAAGAAACTCCATGGAAAATACGACTCAACTGTACAAGACAGATAACAACACATAACTCCAGAAAGAAACTCCATGGAAAATATGACTCAACTGTGTAAAACAGATAATAATACATACCTCCAGAAAGAAACTCCACGGAAAATACGACTCAACTGTACAAGACAGATAATAACACATAACTCCAGAAAGAAACTCCATGGAAAATACAACTCAACTGTACAAGACAGATAATAATACATACCTCCAGGAAGAAACTCCATAATGAGGTACAAGTTAATAGCATCTTGAAAGCTATAATACATCTTCACAACCCACTGATGATCAGCTTCTACTAGTACATCTCTCTCAGCCCTCACATGAGCAACCTGTTTTAAACAAAAGAAAATAAATTACTGGATTTAAAATTTAGCTTATTCTCACAGCTCCTTACTTGTCTTAAGCATGAATTTCATGCCTCATTTTATGCTAACCATTTAACATTCAAATACAGCATTAAACCAAGAAAAGAAACCTCAGTATTGTTTTGATCTATTAATTGAGCAAGCTTTTAACTCTTACCATTAGGCTCAGGATTTCAAGCTTGCTCCATAAATATTGCAAGTGAAGATCAAAATCCAATGACATTGTTTTTATGACTATCATGAATTTAAAACAGAATAAAATTAAACTACTTTTGAATGTTAACAGATGGCATAAAATATTTCTAATTTTTATGTAAATTTGGTCACGCAGTTTTTAAGAAAACGTAGATACAGATTATAATTCATGGAAAACACTGCACTCTTGATGATGACAGTAAAATGTGAAACATGTAGAGTATGGCACTACTATCCATCTTATATAGTGAATTAAGTAAACCTTTTTTATAGTATTTTAAGACTGGGGACAGTCACAGTTTTAAATATTTAGTTTTTATCATTAAACATCTTTTTTTTTCTTTTATCCCTTCGCAACAAGAACCCCTTTAAATTCTTTTCTGTGAAAGTCACTGTGTTACATTCAAAATATATTAAACATCTTTACTATCAATGTATCTGAACGAAATTAATATTATATGTTATGATTCAGAGTTTTATTTTATCCAAGTTTTAATTCTTTTATTTCAAAATAAACCTTTAAACACTACTTCAAACTTCAGATGTATTGTCACATGACCAACAAGCTATGAAAGTTCTCTACTTTGGCTCTCTGTATCTTCGATAATATGATGGTAGTTGAGTAGAGGTACATCTAGACAATAAGATGCTTACATGTTATTTGACACTTTCATTTCAAAGTTCTCTGAATTAATACAGTTGAAACAAGTAATAAATTTTTTCAACCCTGATATCTGCTATGCCCACCTTCAACAGATTTGTTTGAGCTTTATAGCCTAGATGCATATGTTACATACACATGTGTATAACCATTAGAAAGAGCTCATTTTACTTTATAATTTAACAATGACTATTTTGAAATTGGTGTGCAGTTGTCATCGCACATTACATGTAATTGACTGTAGTATTGTTGGCTGCTTGACTGACTATGGCACTTATAATTGTTTCTTACCAAAATATTTTATAGTTAGAGATACAGTTTAAATTGTATTTAGCCCTTACTATTATATTTTAACTAATTACATATTTGTTATATTTTAAAATTCATAATTTAAAGATTTAAACATTTTTTAAATATACATCATACTTAGCATCCATTCTCAAGTCTTGCGATATTACGAGCTGAATGAAAATTTTGCTAAAGGTTTGCACATGTCTCCCAAAGAAAATGTAATATGCCTCAAGGGCATCATTGACTTGTGTTGAGATGAATGATAAATGGTAAAGGACAACAAAGGAAAATAAAACATTAAAAATTAAGTATATGTGAAAAGGTAAAGACCTGAAATTACAAATTTAACAAAAGGAAAATCTTTAAAGATATTCTACAAAAAAATTAAACAGTATGTATTTTTATTTCTATTTCCTAATTTTAATCATTTCATTGCATTGTACATTGATGATAATAGCTAGAGTTAGTGATAGGGTAGAGAAAATGAAAAATTAAATATAAACATTTACCTTAAAGAACTTTTTGATATCCTTTTAGTAGGTTCTAAAGATTATGCAAATAAAATATGAAAATCACTTTGCACTTGATTTGTTAATAGTTTAAATTCAAGTAACTACAATAGAAAAATAACATATTTTTAGTAGAAACACTTAATTGTAATAATGCCATTCTTTGTGTACAAGATACTTGTGATCTTTAACACAATCTTACAAGTTTATAAGAGGATATGTTAAGAAATCTCAGAGTTACTGCATGTATTGTTGTACAAGTGAAATTCCTGACTTGATTTTCATAGATTGCACAAGCCCGCCAGGAAAGGGTTAAACATGTCTCAATGATTATTCAAATCAAACAAAGTTTAAATGCTAGGATACATCTGTTTTTCTTTTAGCTTATTTTTCACTCATATTATATAATTGCTTTTCACATGTTCTTAATAATGTTTATCACGAAATTAATTTCTAAGGCAATACCATTAAGTGCACAAATAATAAACTTTACAAAAGTTATTTAAAAAACATATTAGTTTATTATGGTTTCTATTTATTCTCCAATATGGTTTGTAGCACATGTTTATGGTACAGAAGTGGTCAGAAATATGAAATTTGATATGTAGGTAGACCCTAAACAAAACTGTTCCACTGTTGTTGGGGTTACTCATTTTTTTATGGCTACTAAAAAGCTTATTGTTTGTGTGTCAAAATTGAAAAGCTTTGGTTTAAAAATGGTTTATACAAACAACTTTCAAAAAATATCAATTACAGAAAAGGATTAGGTTTAATAAACAGTTTCATTCATGTTGTTTCAGGTTTGAGTTTCTCTGCATACAAAGAATCACCACAAAGTCATTACACATTTTTTATATCCTCTACCAAAGAAATGGTTTAAATTACATTTAAATGTGGTTGATCAGTTATTTTAGAACAGTGACTTATTTTAACTACATTAACAAATCTTTTTTAAGTTCTTAAAAAATGAAAGACCATAAATGAGATGATAAAACAAATCAGTTCAAATCTGGGAGGTGAATATCCCTTCAGTGGGGGAAAAGTAATTAAAAATGGCAAAACATAAGCATTCTGATATTGAAATACATGTTTTGTTCATGAATATTAACCTTCCTTTCAAAGAAAAAAATATAACACATTATGAGAAATATATATAGGGGAAATATAAATCTCATTATCAAGTGTCGTGGTTCATATTAGGTTATATAACTTGGTATGACAGTGATACAATAGATGACGAGTGTCTAAAGGTTCTCTCACTTAATAATATTCGTTTTTTTTATTTTATTAGAGTGAATAAAATGCTTCCTGGAGAGGCCTAAACTTGTAATGTTCTAACATAACTCATGCTAAAATATATTAACTTAACATGTTAAGTTTTATTTTTCTTGTTTTCGTCCAAAAGATGATATGAAAAAATATCACACGATAATATGTGCTACACAGTTTCAAGCAGTTATGTTGGATCGAAATAAAAGCTTATCTAGAAATGCAACAACAGTATTGTAATTCTTCTATAAGTGATTGATTTTCATAGTTATAATGACTTCATAACAGTGTAATACATTTATAATATCGAGTCAAAGTGATTTATTTGAATTATTGTAATTAAATGCTCCATACTAAGTGTTATTGTACATAAAAAGAAAGCTTTAAGACAAATGAAAATCTTTATCTAGAAATAGATTTTCAAACTAAATACTTACTTTTAATAAAGAATCTTAAAAGTATTATCTGATATTGTACTATGAGAAACAATTATCCCATCTAATAATCTTTACATTAAGTGTAGTGACTAATTCCAAACAATAAAGCTTTTATCTTTAAAAACCTGTCTCAGCCAAGGTTTAAAGAGAAGTTAATGTTCTGATAAAATCTTACCTGTTCTCTTTCTACCATATCTGCTTTTCGAAGAATTTTCATTGCATAAACATGGCCAGTATCCTTCTTTTGAACAAGGCGAACTTCTCCAAAAGCTCCTCGTCCTATCACTTTTAGTGGTTCAAAGTCCTCCACCCCTAGTCTGGAACGCTTCAATCTCAGGAACTCTGTTTCTTTCATAGCATGTTGATTCCTTTTTTCTTGTTTCTTTATATATAATAAAAGCTCAAGATCAAAATTTGAACAATAAATATAAATAACAATCCTAATTATCAAGAGTTGAACAACAGATATAAATGGTAAACCTCATGCTAATGAATTGAGCAAGAGATATAAACAACAAAATAAAGGATCAGGATTCAAACAATAAATATAAACAACTAACCTAATTATCAGAATTCAAACAAGAGATATACACAAATATCATGATAACAATTTGAAGAAAACATATACACAACAAACCCAATGATTAGAATTTGAACAACAGAGGTAGAAACAATAAAATTGTATAAACAGATTTTAAACAACAGATAAAAACAAACTTAATGATCAGGATATCAACAACAGAGGTAAAAATGACAAAACACTGTAACTAGAATTTAAATACTACATGAATAACTGTAATTTTCAGTACCCAACTTAAAAAACAATCCAGTTTGATAAAAAAAAAAAAGTCATTTTTATTAAAACTCATTATTTATGTAACACATAAATATAAACATTTGAAGTATGTAATCATGGTCAATATAGTTTTTTAAATTATGTTTGAATAATAATTATGTAAACTCTACAGACTTTTATATTTAATAGGTGTGAATAATTTACTTCCCTAATATTTTCTAAAGTCGCTTATAATAATTTTTAAATTAGTATACTACCTGTTGTTCAGATAAACCCTCCTCCTTCATTGACTCCTCTAACCTTTCATGCCTGTATATGGAAACAACATATGTAACCTTATCTGAAAATTAATTGAGGACATTGTAGCTTTGCTACAATACACAACCAAACTTTATCAACTGAGTGTTTCAGTATCCAGTTTTTAAATATATAACACTTTTAGATTCACCATTTCACTCAATACAAACTAGGTTTTGGTTTTGTTATTCTTCAGGAAACCCAGATTCTGTAATTAGTGAAGAGAGCGGCTGAACTTTATCAACAAAAAGAACAAAAAAAGATAAATATTCAACACAGTTAAATAATAAGCTGCATGAACAGCTTTGACATGAACAAAATAAAACTGCTAAACATATCTAAATCAGTTTATTCTTAGAACAGTTTCTAAAAAAATATAATAAATATGTAGTTTCAATAAAGCTCATCTTTTGCGTTTTTATACAGGTTTAAAAATTTAACGTGTAAAAGAAGGAGTGTATGATAAAGTCAAAAAACCAAAAAATGTCTGATATATATAAAACTACAAAATATTGTTTATATTGTGAAGTAACTTATCAATAGAGTTGCAGGCAAATGAAACAATTGCACATTAAAAAAATATTTATCTCGTAAATGCTTTACTCTGGAATTACGTACAAGTAACTTTTATGATCCAGAATTGTAATACATTCTCAGTAAACTCGAAGAAAATCATTTGTTGTTAACTTATACAAGTAGATATTGTAAAAACTGTTCACAACATCTGATTAAAACAACATTTTAGTTAATTTGATCTATAGAAATACTCAGCAGCAGTTTAAAAAGGAATAATTAAAAAATAACAACAAGATTAATTTTAAAATGTTACAACAGCGGAAGTCACGCGACGCTGGGAGCACGCACGCTGGAGTTTCTCAAAGGATCGTGAATTTGCCCGGCAACTCTAGTCTGACCGAGAAGCCCTCTTTTTTAGTATATAATCCTGGCGAGAAAAAACAGCGTGATTGAAGAGATACATAATTTAGTCAAGCGAACAGTAGGCACCTTAAGTAAAGTATGTGAATCACTGTGATTTCTAGCGTGTGTTATAAAGGTTGTTAAGTTTAGAGTGACTGTGCAAATTCTGTGTATTACAAAAAGTTGTATTGAGAAAGAATAAACTGGTTTAATCAAGAAAGGACTTGTATCCCTAAAGTTTCTCAGAAAGAATTTCTACCGGAAATTATCAAACAAACAGATACTAACAGAAGCAAATGAAAGAATGCCTGGTTAAAAAAAAAAAAGGTTAAAATTCACAGTCACCTTTAGCTACAAATTAAAGATGTACTGTAAAATGCATAATTATGAACAGTTAAGCAATCGACATCTTTACCAAACGTAACCACATACAAACATAAAAACAGTCAAAAGATGATTAGTTCCTCAAAACACTTAAAACTTAAGGGATCATTTCAAGACGTATCCCATAATGCTTCAATTGAATGGTACCTTTCTCAGCCTTGAGCCTGTAGCTTTAAATCTGAGAGAAATAGAGTATAACAATTCAACAATGAAAAAATATAGTTGTATTATGAATAACTTGTTCAAGAAGAAAACTGTTTTATGGATATATATAT